TTCTCGTGGCTCTGACTGATCTTCGTCGTAGTCAGCCATTAGCCCGCAGATAACTCAGCAACAGATACATTGCAACCAGTTACTCTGAGAAGGAGACGACAGCAGACGTGCTACATGTGCGAATGCGATTCATGTCATGAAAGTGTACACTGGAAAGTAAGCGGATTACAACAGGAAGGAGCCACTCGTGAGTAGACTGATCACAAAGGTGGAAAGAGAGGTGGGGCATCCTTGTCGAACCCCACTGGCTTTGACAGCAGCAGTGTACAAAAGTTTGGAAATTTTTTCGATACAGAATCGTAGGTAGCACTCAAGTCGATGATAACCTATTGGTATGTATGATGCTGTTCAAGCCTTTGACGATGGCCAGTGAAATCCTCACAGAAGTAGAAGACAGTCTGCCTATTACCATTTTATAGAAACAATTGGGCACCATAATGTGGTAATAGCTGGTCGTTTGAGCAAAGAGAACGCACAAATCGTAGACAGATAGGAAACTAATCAGTTGCTGCCGGCGCAAGGTGATCACGTGTGGACGAGCCAAGGAGAGGTATCAGGACCGGCTCAGCCTGGAAAGAACAATATTATTCTAACAGCGCCGAGGCGGACTGGTTGGAAGAGCCACGAGCGGATGAAGTGTGTGCGCTGGCCAGACGGACAAAAGAGAACTGACGAACCCAAGCATGACTTAAGGTGGACAAGGCAGAAGTCAATTGAGGCGAGCAGAACGTACAACCAAATCAACATAGACAGACTGTATCAGACGCAAAAATTGAAAGTCACCGGTGTGAAGACGTCGCGACCAAATAGCGTCCCACTTATGCAGAGTAAACGATGCTTTGCTTCCCAAATAAAGGATTTTAATCGTCGAACAGACTTTGTTTTGGCTCTTGAAGTAGTAGTGTGATGCACGTGAATGGATTGAAGACAGCGAGCATAAGGCCGATGCCCCATTGGTCTTCATAGGATGTCACGTGACCCAATTTAAAGCCGCGGGCGACAGTCGGTAAGCATCGGTTTCAGTTCATTGCCTCTCTGTCATAGATGTTACCAAGAGGAGTGACCAGGCTAACCATCAATGAGTTGCCACCGTCTTTTAGGAACGATGGAAGAGAGACGGAGCCAGTCTCTTAGTGCTCATTCGGTAATGCGAACAAAAGTTACGCTTTGGTGTGGACTGAGGCATTAGAGACCCTAGTATGTTCGTGTGAGCCAACTAGTAATTTTTGCACACGTGGCAGACTAAACTGCTCTTAAATTTGCTCGATCCGGTGTTTAAGCAAAGGTAATAAGTCAACTGGTCACATTCTTCGCTGCCATTTCCCTCACAGGAGTTCTTCCTGGATACATGAACAGAATGAGCGGGACAACGCTCTGCTGTCGTCCATCGCATTCACTTTCGCTTCCTCACGAATTTCAGCCAGCCACTAACAATCCCAGTCAATTATGATACTACTGTTCAGATGCAGTTTCAGGATTTTATCTGCAAACACCTAGGATTCATTCCACTATTCGGATTTTGTGAACCTGGAGGTGAAGAGCTTATTAATCGTCCCTGAAATGCAAACAAAGTGGCTAAAAGCTTGGCAAGCCGTGGTATTTATCAAAAGCCAATTGAAGGAGTGCGGGGTAAGTGTTAGCGGTAAAGTTACCACTCAATTCACAGGATAGATGATGCGACCCATTTGTTCACCAATGCTATGGTTATTAGTTACATGCCCTCACGACATAAGTGTTGTGTAATTCGCAAGAGTTAACACAAGACTTAACTCCTACCACCCATTCAGTCATCCTCTCTGTGTGCCATGGTTACATGCCAACCGGCGTAACCACTATGTAATTAGCAAGACTCATGTCAGTATCTCACGCTGGATGACCAAAGCAGACACCTGCCCCATCTGATGAACGCCGGTTTAACGATTATCCTCCACGTGATCTCATATCAATGTTGCTATGGCTTCAATTCACCACTCACTGTGGGAACAGTCCACACACACGGTGCAACCCGCCCAGACCTTCCCCACATACCTCAGACTTGAATCGTCCTCTTGCCCCAGAGGCACACATCTCCAGGTTCCTCGCACTTCCCTCTGCTTGACTGAACCAAGCCACCATAAGAGCTCAGACCATCACGTTTCCTTTCACACGCTGTATAGCGAATCAATGAGCTGAGGGTTAGCGGACCTAATAAAAGAAAGGTCATAGTGCGATAGTGGACTCGGTATTGTGTGACTCTTTGTGAACGGTGGCAAGTACCGTATGCATTCCTTTTGGACACTGAGAAGGCCGGTTGTTTCGAAAATGAACGGGTGTTGTCGAGGTATACACATATTGTATTTTGATTCCACTGCCCACTGTTTCACACGGAGAATGATCTCAATATCCCATGTTTGCAAACACAGCGTGTTGGTCAAACATCCTATCGGGTTCCTAGGCCAATGGAAAAATGGAGATCAATCTCCGGAACCATTCGAACTCCACTCTGCGTTTCCACAACAGAAACACTTAGAGGTCTTACAGCGCTTCGGCGCCACATTTCTCTTTGACATCAATAACCACGCCTTTCATCCTTGCATCATTCCTAGGCAAAATGCATGTACAATTTTTCGAGCCATGTATTTTGCCAACACTTATCTCTGTCGTGTGGTGTACATACGCTATAGCGTTTTTGTGGCTCTGTTAATCACTTGATTATGCCAGTATTGGAGTGTCTCGTTTCGTTTAGAAGATAATTACGTATTTATTTGAATAGCGCAGCAGTTAACGTCTGGGCTGCCTTTCTTGGTTTGACCAGGGAGCTTTCACGTGTCACTCGAGTTCCAAGCGAATTTGTCGCTTACAATAAGAGTATTCTGTTGGTCAACTTGGCATTGAGTGCGGATGTTAGCGGACCCGACATGAAGTGTCAAATAAGAGACAGTGCAAGATTACTCACGATGATGCAGTGTAAAGCAGGAGATGGTGGAATGTTAAGCGTAACAGCCTAGTCCAACAGAATGTTATACAGGAATAAGCAATAGAATAAGGTTACGCTAGCTTTATGACAGGATGTTCAGCTAGCAGGTTGAGGTTATTGTCGGTAAGTGCAATGTGGTATGGGGGTTTCGCTGAACGAAGATTGTGGGCGAGGATCTCTTGGTACAGATCGCTTCAAACAATTACAAGAAAAAACCTCGGACCCAGAAGAGTGATTATTCAGAATTGTAAGATACTTAAAACAATGAATAAATTGAGGACGTATACAGTAATAGTTACAATGCAACGTTGCTGGTAAACTCCAGAAGGACTAAGCTGTGGATGCGCAAAAACCGCGTCAAATATGGGATGCCAGACAAGTAGTAAGCACGTGTACAAACATAAATGGACTTGTACTTTGTCTGTTTGAAGAAGTTGATACACAGTCAGCGCACTATGAAGAGGCGGACATGCATCTGCGAGTTTTTGGAACAAGCCCCTTGCAGGTACTGGTATGAATAGACACAAAAATGTCAACAAAGGTAGGCTTTCGAATGCTACTACATCGAAATAATTGCGCCAAATACTTCGGATTTTGGAAATCTTCTCTAGGAAACGGTGAAATGTCATACGGGAGCAATAGGTCCAGACATAAGCCGTGATAAATCGCAGTATTAAACGCGCCGCGTAGAACGAAATCACCCTGGCTTTTTTGAACACTTCATTCACATGGAGCGACGAAGAGAGATCACGGCTGAGTATGAAATCCAGATACATCACAGACTCGGTGGTGTGTTGGGTGGCGCCTGGGATACCAGTCGGTACGCAATGACATGTAAGAGACGTGTCAAATAGGACTGTATAGAAGTTGGAGGTGACTGAACTCAAGGTGTATCGTGCACGCTACAAAAATAGGTAGCGAATCAACCAGAGCGAGAAACGATGCAGCAAGATACTCACCAAAACAATTTGTGTCAACGGAAGTGCCGTCAGTAAAACAAGTGGACGTTATGAAGGTTAAAACAACCGTAATATTCAACGTTGCAAAATAATGAAACAGCGTGGTTTCCGGTACACTAAAAGTGCAACCTCACACTATATGTGAAGTTCAGGACAATACATAAGAAGTTGATGGTAACGACAGCCTATAAGTAGGGAAAAAAGAACGCCACCATATTTTGATGAATTCAACAATAAAACGTGAGCTCTGGATAGCAAAGCATGGTCGTCCGGATAAGATTGGTGAGACTACGGTCAAATGATGGATACCAAAGACAAGGTCATCTGCATATTTCAGCAATATCGCTTCATCAGGGGAAGACAATGAGGCGACATAAGTGAAAAAGTGGTATGGCTCTTTGACGAACATTGGCGGCTGTGGTGACCTTAGATCTACCAGTCGGGTGGATGGGGCACATTCAGCGAAATAATTCTTCAGCTGGTGTACGGTAGAATCCCGGAATGGTTTAGATGTGTCAAAAAGATCCTACGGTCTACACAGCCGAAAACACCTTCCAGCGGATCTGATTTTATACTCTAGTGATGCGTGAGTTAGGCGCACGCGTCTTGTGTGGACCTCGAACTACGATAAACAAACCGGATTATCTGAAGGAGTTTGAGTCAGCCTCCTCTGGAAGACCGTTAAATTTATTGAGGTGCTGACAACTGGCCGGTACTTATTTGAACTTTTATTTGGCACTGGTGCATAATTAATGCACTCCTTCAGCAGTCGGTGATGTTTTGTTCTTTCATGCACGTGTGCAAATCAAAAAGAAACAGTAGTGACCACGATGGATTTATTCACGTGCATGGCAATTTTGCATTGAAAAGCAATATGAAAAGAGGATGACAAAATAGAAACATGGAGCATGGATGTTAGAAAATTTGAGAGTATACCTTTGTAGAATGTGTTTACGAAACATCGTCAAGTAGTTCCGTGGTACATAAAAGTAGGGGGATCCGAAAAAATCAGCTGGTGAACAGTTGCATCATAAGGTCTTTGGTAAAAAGTTAATCAAGAGAACGTTTTGTGGGTGATAGGCGGGGCACGTAACTAATAGCAGGGTAAACGCGTAGGTCACGTGGGCACAAGTGAAAGACTGGAGGGAAATGTACACAGTGCACCACGTGTGAAGTCTGAGAAACAAGAAGGCGCTTAGTAAAAACTCAACTTATGCGGACTTCCATACAATAATGTGGCTTCCGTTTATTGACCTGTTAGTTCTTGATCCTGAAGCGTCTGCTGCTGACCCCAAGGAGGCAAGAAAGGCAGAGTAAAGCAGCGACAAAATGTTGTTAAATAATATTACACTACTTGTAAGTAGTGATAATCAATCCAACAAAAGCACTACGGACACAGAACGGTCAACCACCAACCAACCAGCCACAAGTCAGTGATGTGATGAGAATCGGCCTAAAGATCGTAAAGGGAGTACAAGTAAGCAAAAATCGAATTTCGGAAAATTGAGCAAACTGGGCAACAGCAGCGAGTAGATCAACTAAATCTGCTAGTAACAGAGCAACAATTGATCTTGCGAATCGAAGCTCATCAGAAAGGAGATAGTAAAGTGAGTGTGCGGTTGGTGATAACATAAGCGATAATTAAGTTTTTAGACTTTAAGAGTAGTTTACCATTATCAAAGCTGTGTCATCACTGCATTTCAAAGACAGAAGTGGATCGTGAAACAAGATTAGTGTACCTATTTGCAGGAGTTCAGAGGCTTATAGGTAGGCGGACATTGGATGCAGTCAGGACCCAACCGCACTCCCATGGGAAAGTAAACCATAAACTGTGAAAGAATTGCAAAACCTCAGCCGATAGTAGTAAAACGGGATGCGGTGTTTGTAGTAGACCAAAGGATACTCATGGGGATGGTTAACCAGCTAGCTCAAGATGATGTTTCATAAACTGAAGGCAGAATCATCAGGCTCTAAGCATCGTAAAGAATAACAAACACCCTATTTGGTGCATCGAGTTGAGTGCAAAGGGGTGAGGATGCTAATGCTCAAGATTTCCCGACCGCTTTAGATACTCATCGTCCACATCCAAATTCACTTTTTATGCCCCCGGTTTCATGAGTTTTCTAGCTTAAACTCGAACACAATAGCGGAGCATCACATCTACCCTGACGACAAGTCCATGTTCAAATATGTGGACAAGCTCAATTCATCCGTTTCCGTTTGGAGCCCTCAATCCACGTTAAGGTTGTCATGCCTCAACGTGCGCACTTTGTCCCAAATCGGTCAAGAGGTATCACATCCCCGAACGCCAGAGACCCTATCGGTCGATAGTCGCTACCTAGCGGAAGCCCATTTACAAGACTCGAGCGCCGCGCTCACTCTAGGATCAGCTTAATGTGAACCTTGCGGATCTATTTCACTGAGGCTATCCGGAAAAAAGTAGTTTCGAATGCCGGCCCAGTCGGTGTGGGTGTTGCTCCTATCCAACGGACTGAGGCTGCTCCAACCGAGTGGATACCAAGAAGGAGTCGGATGTGCACTGCAGGAGAAAGCAGACAGTTAAAAGTGAATAAGATCGCGGGACCAGATGGACATTGTCTAGCGCCCTTCAAACTGGGAGGGCCTACTCTCCAGATAGTTATCTAAATGAGTAGTACTGAAACTGTGAGGAAGAGGAAACTGTCCCAATCGGCTACGGTGTCTCCGATATGTTTGGATCTATCCCTGCAATTCAGCCATGACTAGTACCCTACAACGACGCACTTGCAGGCACATAGGAAACACCATCATTTGTAACGCTTTGCCGGTTATCGAAACTACATACCGCCAAAGAAGTGAGTAAAAAGCATGGCTTCGCACGCGCAAGCATGCGAGCAATTTCCGTCCAACATAAATTGCCGATTGGACAGCCGGATAAGCGTTACAGATGCTGGTGTTCCCTATATGCGAAAGGCACTAGTAATGGCTGAATTGCGGGGATAGATCCAAACATGTTGGACAAACCGTGGAGTTGCTCCCTTATAGTCCTGACAGTCAGGTCAAAATCTTAGATGTAGTTTGTCGCAGTCCTTTCTCACTTAGGCAGACTCCAACACAACTGGAAAAGCACCAGACGGAGGTTTCGATCCTCTGACGATAAGGCGAAGAAAGCGAAACAAAATAGTCAGATAGGGCAGACTTAATGCAACTCATTAACTTGCTTCTTCCACTTCCGTACTATTGACTCATTAATGGTTAATTGTTTTGCAGCTGCTCTATTCCCATGTTGTACTGCGTGGCTGATGGCCTTGATTCTGAAATCCGCTTCGTAAGTATGCCTCCTAACAGGTGTCATTTTGGGGCCTTTAATTACCGGTATGTTGAAGTACAGTACGTATCAGGAAAAGTGGTAGGAGTAAGCAAACAAGTTTCATCTTGATCACCAGCATGCGACTGGCGCAGAAAAATGTTGTCGTGCTTGACCTCATACGCTGATCAGATTGTATGTTATCAGGCATTTCTCCGTAAGTGCACTGTTACTCCCTCAGTAGTACATGCACAACAACGTAAAATTTAGTCGTCTATCCGAAAACGTCAGTTTGGAGGATGATGTGAGTGAAGCTCACACAGGCGTCGCCGACTGTCTGGATGAACGCACTTCTTTGGAACATTGGTGTGAGCGCACATCATGTGTTCAAACACTCATCTGCAACCAGTGAGATACAGGTGCATGTTTTGAACAGTGTTCGCAAGGTGCATTGTTGGACCAAGTGAGTTCGCCGGGTGGAGTAACCACATATATCACACTATGGGATATCAGCGTGGATGGCTGAATAGTTGGTTGGTTTATCGTTGCAGAAAAGCTTGATTCAGTTAGATACTGCGCAGTGTGCCACCCCCAAAACAAGTCTGTAGAGTCAAACTTGGAACCCTGACTCCACGAGGTTCCTGGCTAGGGATTATGCTTCGATAGTCAGAGTCTTGATAAAACATTTGGACGGATTTTTCGGCGCAGTGTGAATATAGAAACTGATTTGAAGTTACTAGGCCGCAGCACAACCATTCATACATAAGGCGCACTGCGCATTCTTTTTTAGCCTTATAGTCCGAAAAATACGGTATTAATGAGTAATGAAGATTTGGGTCTAATTATGGGGTAGGAGCCTATAAAATTGAGACAGCCGTCTGGTGCTTTTCCAGTCGTGTGGGAGCCTGCCTGACTGAAAGGGAACGACGACGAACTATGTTTAAAATTACGATCAAATTCCCATTACGCATTAGCAAGTCTAAATTGTTTGCCTCTGTTGTTCTTCAGACTGACTGTGCCCCGAGAAAGTTTTATTCGTGAAGAGAAAGCTGGTCCTCATGAAACCTGAGGCTACACATCTTCAGTCATTTGATGGAGCACTGCTAGTTATATTGGCGACTCAGCGAATTCGCGTCTCCCTCGACATCGAAGGTGCCTTCGATTATGTGGATCTACATGTGCTTTGGGACTATATGATTGGGTAACGTGCCAGAGAAATACTTAAATCGTGCAAGAGCATCTCATGCACGTAGTCCGGAAGTATGACAGATTGTCACTGTCATTTAATAGTACTGGCAGTGTAGAACAGCTGGCACGTTTCCATTTCAAATTTGTTATTAGTGAAAGGTATAGAGTTAGTTTCAGGTGATCAAGTTTGCGACCAACAGTGTGCAGACGAGATTGCCCTAAACCGTAACAATGCAAACATTCCAACCAACTGTGGACAAATTATTATTGGCTGTCAATAGTTTTGAACTACGTTTTATGCCCTCCTATCTCTAAACTTATTCTTGTTGAATAACAGGCAGAAGTTGTTCGAAAATTTAACCAACTAGGAGCTACAGTACCGCCTGCGGAATAGAAGACGCGGTCACAAAATAGACAGTAAACTATCGAAGCGTTTTTGCTAAATATCGACACTAATTGCGCCGGCGTGATACAGCATACCTTAGGAAGTGTACAGTCTACAATGCTGTCGTTCGTTCAAACCTCCTGTATGGTTGTCAAACCTCGTCCGTCATAACGACAGCCATAAAGGGATCAGGTGCGTTCCAGCACCGGTGCCTTCGAACTGGAGCTCATTTAAGGTGAGGACATCAGTCGAGAAAAAGACGTGTTCGCTGCCGGATTTATGGCACAGGAAGAGCAAGCGAACCGTTCAGTACCGTTATTTCACGTGCCAGACTCGGATGACAGCGTTATGTAATATGAATGCCAGCATAAGGATTTCTGCGAGGTGCGTCGATTGCGCGAAGGCGGTCTGGACGGAAGAAAAGGGGGAAGGACAAGTAGATGATTTGCTTAAGGGGAATGAAGGCCCACACTTCGAAATTGGCCTCGGTTGGTGGATCCCGACTCCCGAGTTAGGGTCGGAAAGACGATGGACACGAACGGTTGGATACACTTGCGGTCATGGAGAAGAGTCGCTCTCAATGGTGTTTGTGTTGTCTCTGGCCAATTACTTCCTATTTAGACGCGATAGTTTTCAAAGCATAATAATGTCTGTGTTACCTTTGTTTTCCTTTTAGATGACTACCTAATTGTATGCATTGAGGCATATTAGTCGGGGTATTTTTTACTTCTAACTGACGTGTGGGTGGTTCAGCAGGCGACTGGAATGTGATGTCGTTGCTCTCGCGAGATCATTTAGTGCACCAAATCCGAGTTTAGTTCCGATGAAGTAGCCATTGAAGCGACATACTGGTAAGTAGTGAGTAGCTGGAAACAGTGACTAACTTAGATGTTGGGTTGTTCGCTGAGTTTGGCGAACAAACCAACACCTCAACACCCAGCCTGAACTACCAACAGTTCGAATTATTACATCGAAGCTACCTATGTCCGGGTGGAACAACAGATTACACATGGCGCGAAAACACACACAGCGCTTACCATCATGAAAGCTATAGCCTTGACCTCCGGAAATCACTAAATTATTAAAAGCGCAAGGTGATGATGCATTCAACGCGGTGGTCCGTTTAATCGGGGTAGGCCTATGGTTGTCCAACGGCGTGGAGGTCATCGGTTCCATGTACTGTGTGGTTATGGTACCCATACCAGCGCAGGAGATGAGGAACTTCACCGACTTCTCGTGGTGGTGGCGACAGATCTGTGAGAGTAAAAAGAGGCCGGTAAAAGAAAAAAAGCAAATTGACTAAGAATGTTGAAATGGAAAAATCGGAGATCAGAGATCCGTGTTAAACGGTTCCATTTAGGACAAAGGAGTGGTTGTGCTTGCTCAAGTTCCCTGTGTTTGATGTGCGGTTCTGGAGGGCAGACCAGGTCGCGCGTGGTAAGCAACGGCCAAAAGATCACCGCGTAACCATGGGGTATACAAAGACCGCATTGGGTTATAAGGTCGGCGAAGTCGGTCTAAGGATTTGACTGCCAATGTGACCATAGTACGCGTGTGTCTATAAAAGGACATAGGTAGCTTGCGCTGCATTACTGAAATCTTTATACACGTATCCCATATTCACTGTTACTCTGAAAGGAAAAGACTGAAGGTATGTGAAAGAATACGGCCGCAATACCAGAATAACGGGTGACGAAAAGATCCCACGGTAGCAAGTCGTCAAACACCATCAGGACACAACAGCTTGGGGAACAGAGTATCGCAGACAGAAAGCCAAGATGCAGTGATTTCCGTATTTGAAAGTGTAAAACAAAAGTTCGCAAACCATGATCACAAACACTTGGAAAGCAAAATGTGAGCACGCTGATCGCAAATCAGGACATTCTTCCTCGCTAAAGTGCAAAGTTGGGCGCTCAACCAGTGACAGCGGTAGACAAAATAGTAGAAGAAAAATATCTCAAGGTGAAAGCGATAGTCATTTTCTCGTGACCACAATTAGGAGTGTGGAAGAAAGTTGTTCTTTCCGATGCGAGTAAAGTAAGCAAGGATCCCAGAGTGGAAGGATACGTGTTATGGCAAAGCAACCGTCAGAAAAACAGCACACAAACTAAATGGATATACAAGCATATGTCAAGCATCACATTTCAAAGTAGCGGCGGGAATGACCGAACAATTACAGCACAGTTAAAGATTTTACACCTTTCCTCAGTTAACTGCATCCATAACGCTTTCAAACTCAGCTTTATGGAAATTGGTTTCGTCCATACATCTTTCAGAATCCTCTTTAAAGCAATCAAATATCATCCACCTGGCGCGGGCACATCAAAACGCGCCCCTCGTAGGGTAACCAATCCCAACTCAACCAATCGCATATCAGACTAGTTTACGACATGAGGTACCAGAGAAGTTTGGGGGTGACGCAGATCGCGCGCGATTTAGTGGGTGCCCAGTCGCGATCGAGACTCGTATTCAGGCATGATTGGCTACGCTGAATCTACACACATGTTAGGTGGTATACTCGCAAAACACGTGGTGCCATCTGGGCTTAGCAGTCACGAGTGATCATGGTGGTTGGCACTTAACCTCTCAGGCATTTCCACTTATACGTGAGATATGATTGCACGGTGTGTCCGCCCATTGCATCGCTGAGCTGTCCGAGGCACCCACGTGAATGAGTACGAATGGATTGGCCCTTGGGAATAATGACATGAACTCGCTCACACATATCGTTGTCGATGATCGGCTGGCATGGAAGTTGAGCTAGTGACACCGGAGGGACGTGGAGAGCGTGTGGACCGCAATGTGTTTCGGGGTGTCGCATGCTCACTGAACGCAATGTTGAAAGGTCCGCGTTTGATGGATGTAGCGATTCGAATCAGGATGAGTCTGCGCGCAGTGCACATTGGCATCCTCACCGAGGTTTCGCTCGCCTATTGCCTTTGTTATGCCGTTGTTCGACTGAGCTTGCACCTGGGCAATATACCATCTAGTTGCGTCAACCTTCCCATTGCGGTTGCCTGAGTGCTTCCTCCAACCGTTCTCACAAATGACTTGTATTGTTGCGAAACAGACCGAATGTGCTGTTTTACCAGGGGCGACACACAAACAGAAAAAAGAATTCCGCAACACTCGGGGCGGTTACACTATTCTGCCAGTTTCAAGGAGTGATCTCAGTTAGGTGTCATTGCTAAACTGCAGTAAATAGCAGCGCACATGATGTGGTTAACTCAGAACAATGTAATTAGCAGATTGTCAGCTAATCAGCAATACCCGTGTTTCCGCCTCTTTTCATATGGCAAATTACGCGTTCCAATGACGCACTTGGAAACCTGACGTTGAGTCTGCTCCAGATCAGTGACATCATGCTTCAGTTCTGATTGCCTTGCTTGAAGTGCTTGTTCTACGCAGTGGTTCCCAGCTTGTAATGGTATTTCCGTTTGCTCAGAACAACCCGTCATCCCGAACCAGTGAAGTAGGTCACGTTGGACGATAGAGAACTGGAGGGTGTGCGTTTCGAATCTATAGATGTAGAAGCTGTGACATTGTATGCAGAGTATCTCACACGCGGGTAATCACCCTACCTACGCGAATTGAATCCTTCAGATGCGCAACTGTCGAAAGGATTGTGAAGTTTTTGAGAAATAAGCGTTGTTATCGTCAATACATCGTAGTATGTCACGAAAGTGGAAACTGAGCTCGTAAGTGTAGGCAAGCCTCAGACTGATACGATACAGTACAACAGAGACTTAGCGGAGAAACAAATCCGAACGCGACGCGACTGGACTTTATCTTAATGCGATGGTTTGCTTACCTTCGTGACCTATTGAGTTTCGCTCGGTGTCATCAGGACTGCTCATACCAAATGTCTCAATGGTTAGCGGTCGGATTAACTCAGTCGCACAATCCTCATCGAGGGTTGGTACAAGTTCATGGTCCTCTTCCCTTAGAACAGGCACGGGAGACAATAGGTTTTGGAGTATCTCACAGCTCGATTGGCATAGAGCACAAGTGCCACGCATTATCTCTGATCGTAGGAATGCACCACGCGGCGCATAATGGTTTGCTACCACCCGCTTCAATCCAGGCAACTCTTGGTGAGATAGATGCAAACCCGCCAATTCCCACATGCGGTTGCCTGTGGTCGCACATGTATTACCCTAGATTCTCAAAGGCTGTTTCTGACAGGCCTCAAGCAGATCCCAATGAGCCACTGCAATCATGGTCTCCAGTTGGACTAGCTCCCCACTACATTGTGGGTCAAGCTGTTGGGCCAAAAGTTCTGGGTGGAGTCACTCAAGTGTACCTCCATATACGTGACCGTATTGTGGGTGACTGTTGAGTGCAAGCCTAGGGGTTGGGCACCTCAAGCAACCACCCTTTTAAGGAATGGGCATTCGGAGAGTATAATCTGCCGTCTCGACCCATTCGTCAACACTTCTCCTCTACCCGTACCACTCTCTTCTCCGTTTAGTGTGCAAGGGACTGTCATTGACCTCGTAACTGAAGATATCAAACCGAGATGTGCATTTCTCAATGGTTCACTTGACGTCCACGCATACTTGCAGGTCGGTCAACAGTAGCACTAATTCTCACTATACACTCCCTCGGTATTAGTGTGTACGGTCTCCGAAACACATATACAAGATAACCGCGTCGTGACGAATCTTCCACTTCCTGGATCCGTATCTGCTGACAACGATTACAATGTAAGCGCCTCTGGCAATACGAAGTAAATAGCTCAACGTTAGTATGTTGTCCGTATCACTCTCAGCAATCATGCAGGATGCAATATACTCGACCGGATGCCAGTTAACCGCCGCATGTACGCTGTTCGTCTCCGAAACTCTGTTGCGGTAACTAACAACCATCTGAGGATATAGTGCATTTTCAATGCTTCTGTTTATGCCCCCAGTGAATGCAGTTCGGAGGGTATAAACGACCACTTCTGTCGTCACCAAAACTACTGAGACTGTGACGGTCGCTGGTGACGTGGATGGCGTATTGAATCGCCTTTCGGACTCTGAACAATACCTGGAATGCCGTTTCGGGGTGCACGCACACCGAACAGACAGTGACGATCGATTCCTACAACCATGTGCTGATCTCAATGCGCATGTTGGCAGCACTGCTTTTAAGTACTAGCGTTCACATTGTGTCACATGTGTCCACCGAAACTCTCGATGAGGTTGACCCAAATTGACCCTGTTGCTGTAGGCCACACATGCCGCACCTCAGTTCAAGACAGTCAGTGAATTTTGCGTGTGTCTGCATTCGGACCAGGCTCTAGTGTCTCCCAGTTCACCAGCCATTGTAGTTATATATATATATATATATATATATATATATATATATATATATATGCAAAATGCACTGTGGCATGGTGCGTTGTCACATATCAGCAGACACTTGTCAGCGATGCCGTTGGCATCAAGCATGTACCGCAATCACCGCGCACACCGTTCCCTGTTGTAACTCCCCCTTAAGACGATATATCCCAAAATTTCATCTACAGTAATTGCGCCGATAAGGTGCAGAATTTGTCCACGAGTGCGCGCTACAGTGTACTACGCACATGTGCCGCGTGCTGAACACCCCCTTGTGGGGGCGCAAAACAGATTGAAATTCATCTCATCAATCCAAACTGGTTGCCACCCTTCAGCTTCCAAGTTCATCAGCTGCAAAACATAGATTTCCTTCGTCTCTTGTTCTCAAACGTATTCATTGACTCAGGTATAGCATATACCTGTTACATGGTAATGAGGCGACCCTCCAGGCACCGAGTTACTGTGTTGACGATCATATCCACATTGAGCTCCGCTTTCAATCGGAAACGAAGACACTCCAATGTTAAGGTAGGATCCGCATCTACCCATTCCACCAGATTATCCGCCTGAATGTCAGTCAATGATCTTCGATGTGCCCCACCACGTTTTCCTTTGATTCGTTGGACTCTAACGTTCTAATCCAACTTCGGCAAGTCTTCGGGTTGACATTTAGCACGGATGCAACCTGCTTCCAGTCATCGGCTTCTTCATAGGTGCCCAATATTCTTGCATTATTTTCATGTATAAGTACTAACTGTTTTACTACTAATATTAGTATTATCATCATTTCGATATCCCCACCAAGTATCCAACGGGACATGTAAAACAACGCTTCTTAACCCGTATAAATTCACTGCTCATTGTTCAGACTCAACATCGGGTTTGCAAGTGCGTCGCTGCAACGCGTAATTTGCCACATGAAAAAGCAGAAACACGGGTATTGCTGATTAGCTGACAATCTGCTAGTGATTACAATGTTCTGAGTTAACCAAATCATATGCGCCGCTATTTACTACAGGTTAACAATAACACCTATCTGAGATAATTCCTTGAAACTGGCAGAAAAGTATAACCGCCACGAGTGTTGCGGAATTCTTGAGTCTGTCTGTGTGTGTGGACCCTGGAACACCACAATCGGTCTGTTTCGCAATAATACAAATTATGCGTGAGAACGGTTGGAAAAACCACTCAGGTATTCACATGTCTTAGCAAGCGCAATGGGAAGGATGACGCAACTAGATGGTATATTGCCCAGGTGCAAGCTCAGTCGAACAACGGCATAACAAAGGCAATAGGCGAGCGAAACCTCGATGAGGATGCCAATGTGCACTGCGCGCAGACTCATCCTGATTCGAATCGCTACATCCATCAAACGCGGACCTTTCAACATTGCGTTCAGTGAGCATGCGACACCCCGAAACACATTGCGGTCCACACGCTCTCCACGTCCCTCCGGTGTCACTAGCTCAACTTCCATGCCAGCCGATCATCGACAACGATATGTGTGAGCGAGTTCATGTCATTATTCCCAAGGGCCAATCCATTCGTACTCATTCACGTGGGTGCCTCGGACAGCTCAGCGATGCAATGGGCGGACACACCGTGCAATCATATCTCACGTATAAGTGGAAATGCCTGAGAGGTTAAGTGCCAACCACCATGATCACTCGTGACTGCTAAGCCCAGATGGCACCACGTGTTTTGCGAGTATACCACCTAGCATGTGTGTAGATTCAGCGTAGCCAATCATGCCTGAATACGAGTCTCGATCGCGACTGGGCACCCACTAAATCGCGCGCGATCTGCGTCACCCCCAAACTTCTCTGGTACCTCATGTCGTAAACTAGTCTGATATGCGATTGGTTGAGTTGGGATTGGTTACCCTACGAGGGGCGCGTTTTGATGTGCCCGCGCCAGGTGGATGATATTTGATTGCTTTAAAGAGGATTCTGAAAGATGTATGGACGAAACCAATTTCCATAAAGCTGAGTTTGAAAGCGTTATGGATGCAACTAATAGAGAAATGGTGTAGATGCGAGGGACGCAGGATCCAGTCGCCATGAGTCGTGGAATTGGGGGGTTAAGAAAAGTGTTAATTCAAAGTCAGGTGTTTTGATCGATAAACTGGTCGATGTTTTCAGACAGCGAACAGTACATGTAAGGATGCATAAACAAAAAGACACGCGCGAGAAGGAGCACGTGATGGTCGACTGGTGGGGTGATTCATTCATCATTCGGTCGCTGTGATCGTCTAAGGTGAGAGGTGTCATGCTAACCCGATGATAGAGCGGGGGTTGTTCAAGTGTTTACATAGCTCAGTTTGTGTTAAGCTGATAGTGATGGTTTCAGTCGTCCGTTTGTAAAGCTAATAGCTAGATGCAGTGGAACGAATAAAAGAGAGATACCGATTTCGTACCAACTACAGGTGTAGGCAATCCAAAAGCTGTAAAGCTGTAAGATAGTACCTGCCGGATTGGCCGAGTCACCCGTTAATCTCTTCAAACCTCTGGCACGACATCTATTGGCCACTCAGTGGTTTCCCGGAGACAGTAGACATCGCAGACTGAGGTAAGCGGTCAACGGCTACACGAAGAATATGACCCCGCAAAAATGAACGACTTTAGTTAAACCCACACTCGTATGGCATCAGAGTGTTTTAACAAACACCAGAAAGTGAAGTTCAGTTGATGCTGCTACCAAACGAAAACAATGCTAGGTAAGGTAACAGTAATAAGCCTTTAAAGCGTTCGTTGCTGTTTTCCTCGAACACCATTTTTAAGTTATCTGTTGTAGATATATCAGCTCTGTAAGAATAGCCTGATAAATTCGTTGTTCAAACAATTTCCAAGGTCACAGACCCCTACTCTATTCACTTGTTGAATACACAAACCGAGATAGTGCGTAGAAATTACGAATTGCTTGCTTTAGACACGGACATTTAAATCAATGTAAACCAGTTATGAAGGAAAATCGTAACAAGACTTTCCCCCTGTTGGCTTGACGTAAGCCCCGAGGATCCTGTTCAATATGGTGCGATCGTGGCTCTGGAAAGTCGGGTCGTTCACCCGCTTGATGACAATGTAATCTTTACAATTTCGCCTACTTCTGTTCAAAATGATTTGATGCACTGGTAGTTCGGGTTGATCGTCCCTGAGTTCACTTGTTCGCCGGGCTTCGGAATTGGGGTGCAAACGTTTCATCACCAAGCGAGGTGACTTCCTTAGCGCGCTGCTGGGTCCAAGCTAATGTGCTGACTTGTACGTCGATTTGTAATCGATCAGCAAGTGACTTTTGAACTGACCTCCATCTGTTCCCCTTGACATTCACCGGTCTGCCCAACTCTGATACATACGGGCGATCCGTGGGATGGTTTTGCCCCGGCTGTTGTTGATGGCTCGTTTAGCCGATCACGACAGTTTCTTTTTTAAAGGTGTTTTAGTTCCCTCCGTCTTAACGTTTGGTACACTGGATCAATCTCTATGTGCATGTTTATCGAATGCTGCGTCGAGTACCATGCTTCGAGGAACTCTCTTCCTTTTCGTGTCTCTCCTTTTGCTAGGACCTCTGTGTTGTTCCAATCGAAGTGATGTCCTTCTTCGTCTGTATGTATTGAACTCAGTGAGAGAGCGTAATGGTTCTTACAAGCACTTTTATGCTCTTGTATTCTTGTTGACAGTCGTCTTCCTGTTTGACCCGCATAGTTTTTATCACAATCTTGACATCGTATCTTCTAAACAACATTTCGTCTTTCGTGTGTTCCGGGTCTAGCTTTGGAGTTCGACAGAGTTCTCTCAATGTGGCAATTGGTACTCGACGCAGCATTCGATAAACATGCACATAGAGATTGATCCAGTGTACCAAACGGTAAGACAGAGGGAACTAAACCACGTTTAAAAAAGAAACCGTCGTGGTCAGCTAAACGAGCCATCGAAAACACATTAGCAACAACCCGGGCAAAACCATCCCACGAATTGCACGAGTTGGGCAGACCGGTGAAGGTCACGAAGCACAAATCGAGGAGGTCTGTTCAAAAGTCACTTGCTGATCGATTACAAATTGACGAACAAGTCAACATATTAGATTGGACCCAGCAGCGCACTGACGAAGTCACCTCGCTTGGTGATGAAACGTTTGCATCACAATTCCGAAGCTCAGCGAACAAGCCTATCTCTGTGTTAAATTTTGCATTTTACTGCCAATTTAGTACATTCGTAGCGTATGATGTAAAATGCATCTATAAAGCTTCTCTTTACTAAAACTGTATAGTAGCTTCATTGCCAAGCGATCACAAACAGTCACATATGCATACACATATAGATAAATAATATGTGAATGTAACACTAGACGAATGCCAATCAGTCGATCCCGAAAGGCTCCTTAGTTGGTCTCTATGATTCCTTGGACCAAAGCAAACATTTGCTACCACATGTTGTGGAACACTACTTTTGGTATCTCGTAACGCATATTGCTTAAGCTTAAACCATACTGCCGCATCTTAAACCCATCCAGTGCGTAGCAAGATGCCAATTACTATCTTCTCCAAATTACAAAAGTTGCGATTGAGACAGGAACGCATAAGCCATACGTAATACACCCACTACATAGCGCATTATTGGTCAATTTTGTCAATCAGACAGATACAAGTCTGTATATGACCGAACACGGTTACTCCCCATCGAACGCAATTTTTGCTAGACTTTAACAAAGTTGTCTAAGAATTAGCTAACCAATTTGTGTTATGATGGTCACATGCTTGTCCATCATGAGTCCACCTTTTTGCATCTTATATTACACTGCTAAAAATGCGCGTATTACAGCTGAATATTCACCCGACCTGAGTGCATAAAACCCTTTGGCGACTAAAAAAGTAAAGTTAAACAAGAGATAAATGAAAAACACGTAGGATATTCAAGACATAATGCGACAAAAGAGGTGATGGAGACCTAAGACAAGTCAACGGTGATTAAGCAAAAGCACACTAACTCGCGATAGCGAAGATGGAGTGATTGTCAAGCGCTCTTTCGGACATCGTGATTCTCAACTAGGTCTGATGAGACTCGAATTCTCCACCAACGTTCTAGTAAGCAGAACACCTAGCTAAACTACCTAAGAGGGCAACTGGCAGCCTAAGTATGAAAAAGCACTGCTCGTTTGCAGAAGAGGCATCTTAGTAGCGCGACGGTTGTGGGGTGCGCTACAAAACAAACAGCTTGTCATGTCAGTTGTTGGGATCGACCGAGGTCTGATTCTGGTTAACAAAAGTCAGATTAAACAGTCTGGGGACTCTCAAAAGACCGAATGGACATCGCTAATAAGTCACGAGCAGACAAAACCGCAAGCTTTTCTAAACAACTGTGGGTGTACAAATGAAAGTAGTTACGCGGAATTCTAAGTAGACCACGCAAAGCTGACGACTGCTTGTTTACATACACCACGTAGACAAAGCTGTGTATAAAAACATAAGGCGACAAGAAAAAGGAGAAACTCACCAACATTTCTGATTCAACCACCATGGCGGCGTCGGTCGCAGGATCTTTTGACACTGTTGGGTATGCGAAGACATACGAAGACATAAACAGATGAAACGGGGCATAAAGCAAAAGAACCACACACCATATGCTTTAGACAATGGAAATGTCTAACCGATTGGTGCAGGGTAAAAAACAACACATACATTGGATGTCCGTACATCATGTACCGTAAGTGGTGGGGAAGACATTAGCTACTCATTGTAGCTATCGGTAACAGAAACAGCTATAGTGACAACGATATTATCACAGCACTGTGTACGGGCCTATCTGAGACTGAGACTGTATTTAAGAGCAAGTAGAAAGGTTTCTGTACAACTCTATCGAATTACGAAAAATCAAAATTTACTTGTGAATTATCAGCAGTTGTGTCTGGTCCGTTAATCATTTATCCGTGTTCGGTTAAAAATTTGTACTAGCGTCATTATTTCCGGACATACAATGTCTTCTTTTGGCACTGTATGTGCATCGTTTCACAAAAGCACAGGTTTCCAAAATAATCGTCGATACGGGTTTTAAAACACTTCACAGAATCGGCCTCTATTAATCCATCTGGTAGTGTATTCCATAAGTTTACGATTCTTCGTTCGATACAAAGCTGATGTGATACTTTGTTCATGCTGGGGACCCTGAGTTTGTAACGATGTCCTCGGGTGTTACAGGGTTCTCGCAGGTGAAATATTGGCCGTAGTATGGGGAAGTGATTCAAGTGTAGTACTCGATGGGTCATAATAAGATCAATTCTTACTCGGCGATAGGATAGTGTGTAGAGTCCGAGCTTTTCACAACGTTTTTCATATGGAAGCTTTCGTAGACTTGGTATCATTCTAGTTGCGATATGCTGTATTTTCTCCAGTTTTTCAGTTTCCCATTGGGTTATCGGATGGTAAGCTGGGGCACCGTATTCAAGGATTGGTCTAATGAGCGAGGTGAATAGACGAGGGACGGTTTCTTCGGACCATGTGGAGAAACTGCGTCGTAATGCCCAGAGCATACGAAGTCCCGCACGGTACAATTTCTCTGTATTTTCTAGTGATCTTAAATCATGTCGTGAGAGAACTCCTAAGTCTCTGACAGATGTGTTGGGATGGAGCAACTGGCCGTCCAAGGTGTATGATCGAGTGGCTGGACGTCTGGTGATACTGATGAACTCCGACTTGCTTGCGTTAAGAGGGAGTTGCATTTCAGTGGACCACGTTGACAGTCGCTCTAAGTCATGCTGGAGGCGAGCGCAGTCGTCCTGGTTTTCAATGATCCTCCAGATTTTCAAATCATCTGCGAACAGGACACATGGTGACTGGAGCTGCTGCGGAAGATCGTTGATATGAATAAGAAATAATGCTGGCCCAAGTACAGTTCCTTGAGGCACGCCACTGGTCGATGGGAACCATTCTGTCAGATAGTCATTGACCTGTACTCTAAACCTTCGTCCCACAATAAACTCTTGTATCCACTGAAGTAACGTGCCACCGATTCCGTATGTCCTCAGTTTACGAAGGAGTACCTCGTGGTTCACTCTGTCAAACGCCTTACTAAAGTCGATGTACACCACGTCAACATCCTTCTGTTCATTGAGAGCTCGAACCCACTGGTGGTTTGCGTACATCAAGTTGGTGATGCAGGATCGCCCTTTCGTAAAGCCGTGTTGCGCTGGCGTCAATACGTCCATCGATTCGAAGAACGACAGCAGACACTTTTTCACAACCTTCTCGAGAACTTTGGATAATACCGAAGTCAAACAGATCGGTCTATAGTTCTCTATTTTACTCGGATCACCACCCTTGGGAAGCGGTTTAACTATCGAGCATTTCCAGTCGTTCGGGACGGATCCTTCAGAGAGCGATCTATTGAAAAGGTCTGTCACAACTGGTGAGATGATAATCGATAGGGACTTGAGTATTAGTGGGTGAAGTCCGTCTGGCCCGGGGGGCTTTGCACCATTGAGGTTGACGAGTAGCTGATGTACTTCGACTGCATCACATTGTAGGCTGTCGAGCAAGACTTGCGCAACCTGTGCCGGTACTGGAACAGCCGCCGGTTTACTGGAAAATACAGTGAGGAAGTGCGTAGCCAGGGCGTCCGCGCGCTCCGCGCTTGAAATGAGTGTCTTCCCGTCTAAGCTCTCTAAGACCGGTAGGTCGTCTCCAGGTTTCAGTTGACGTTTCAAATAGGCAAATATTCGCTTGGGTGCAGTTGCGGCCGAGGATGCTAGCTCCTCTTCGAACTGCCGGCGTTTCTTGATCTTTGCGGCGTTACATAAGTTACGCTGTTTCTTGTACACCGCGTAATCTTCATCACCACCCGAGCTGATGTATCTATCCCAAAGTTTACGACGTCGTCGCGCTAACTGTCTGTATTCCCTATCAAACCAATGCGGTTTGACAGGTCCGATTTTTGGATACTTAAGGGGAACGAACCGAGTACAGAGCGAGTTAAGCTTCCCCTTTATTAATGACCACCACGCCTCAAGTGACGCATCATGTGGTAGTGTCCAATCAGTCTGACTTGCGGCTTGGACGAGTCCGTTGAAGTCCGTCTTCCAATAGTTGAATGTCGGCTTCTGTTGATTGTAATATGGTAACGACAGTTCTAAGCTTGCTACAATAGAGCAGTGGTCACTGTTCGCCAGAGGTTCGATGACTCTGATCTCTTTTAGCTTCTGCTCGCAGCTCGTAAACATTAGGTCCAGACAAGATGCCGAGTACGGAGTTACGCGCGTCGGTTGGATGACATGTTGCGTTGCCCCAATTTCAATAGTCATTTTAGCGAATTGAGTCTCAACGTTGCCATGACCGGGAAGAAGTCGAACATCTGGCCAAATTATCTTAGGTAAATTTAGATCCCCCATCAGTAAGAACTGAGGGCGGCTCATGTGCTTCTGTACATGTGGTATCCAATCGCAGCAACGGTTTAATGGGCTCCGGTAGATAACCCCCACAATTAGTTCTGCGCGCCTGAGACGGATTGTGCACCACAATTGCTCGCATAAACTATCCTCGCTCCGATAGGTACTGATAAGTTTGCCAGATAGTGACGATTTTATGTACAACAGAACACCACCATGAGCCTTTGATTTTCGGTCACATCGGAAACAAGAGTATCCTGACAACACGACTTCTTGGGGTATGACGTCGGAGTTCAGCCATGTCTCTGCAAGTCCTAAAATGTCCGGCCGCTCCGAGACAGCGAAACGGCACAATTCGTCACGTTTGTTCATTAGGCTGCACACGTTGGCGAATGCGACACGGAGGTCCTGGGAGGTACTGCGGGACGTGCCTGGAGGTTGAGCAACCGATTGATACGGGTTCGTACACCCTTCTTGATCACCCGAAAATTTACAACTTGTAAGTCAGTCTCACCTTCCTCTGTACGGCGTTTGAGCTCAATGACCGCAGTCTTCAAACGATCCCTGTCCTCGGGTTCCAAATCTCGGCGGATGTGAACTTTTATGCCTTTCAGCCTTGACAGACGAGACAGTATGAGCTGCGGCATATTAGGATTTGCAAAGGTGATCCTCAGAGGTCGACATGACTGGTTAGTTTTCTGGCCAAGTCGGATTACTTGTTTAATCGTCACACTGTCCTCGCCCACATCCAAGAGTCTATCGATGAGCCCCTGGAGGAACTCAACATCGTGATCATAACGTATCTGAGGGTTTTCATCTTTTGACTCCGGTACGTGGAAGACCATGAGATTATGACGCCTCAGCGAAATCAGTGATGAACCTGTGGGAGCAGAACTAGAGGCGCTTAACTGATTGGGTAGTTGTTTATCAGCAGGTGACGTCTGAACTCGATTACGTGGGCCCTTGCGCTTTTGAGTGGTCCATGGATCCTCGGTGTTCAGAAGTTCACAGACAGGCTCTGAGAAATTCACGGACCGATCAGTGAAGCGGCATTTCGTAGCTTCTGAGTCTGAGTCTTCCATCGGTGGGAAACATTGAACCTGGGGTTCGGCCGGGGTCGAAGACACTGGTGGTGGTGCAGATCGCGGAGTGACAATAGAAGGCGAGGTGACAGAGGTAATTTCACGAGGGCGTTTGATCCCACGTGGTGAACGGTTTGTTTCTATCTGAAAGAAAGATTTTTCCGTAGTTGTTTGCGGTCGCTGCGTATTCTGATGTCTTGTACCGCGACATTTATCACATATAACTTGAAAAAACCGATGTCGGATGTCGAGCGATTTTCGAAACACGTCAACGGATAAGCCAATGCACGAAATATGGAACAAAACATCACAGCTGAAGCATCGAAGTGCATGAGCCTTATTTCCCACAACTTTCGAACACGAACCACAAGTAGCTTGAGACGGCATCACAAGCTAGAGCAAATCCAAGATGGCCGACAGAGATGGCAGTATGGCAAATCAGTGAGATCTCCGGAATTAGCCAAAGAATAGCTCCCAAATTTGCACCGCTTGGAAAATACGCCAAAAGAAGAATAATGGTGCACAATTCACACAGATAAAACGCTGCTAACACAGTAATCTGAGGCAAAAGTAGTATCCAGCACACGTTGATCCAAAAATCCGCGGCGTCCGTGGGTACAGCTAAGAGGTACGAAAACATTACAAATAAGAATAACAGAAAGCAGACAACGTATCGCCTTGTGGAAAACACGAGCGCTACATGCAAAGGTTAAGAAAGGAGGAGTCAACACCGCCACAAGCTCACGAGCAATCGACCGTGGTCTAAGAGGGGGAATAGCGAGAACGACCAGCGTCATAACTAGGTTACACGACAAAAAATCAGAGCGGACGATTTACAAACAACAACGTAGCAAACATGTCCCGAGGGTGCAGGTTTCTGGAAGTGTTAGGTAATAAATATAGAGTCAAGTACATGTTGGGACGATTGAACCCGAAATGTGGAAGGAGACATGGAACAAATCACCAAGTTCATTCTTCACTAAAACGTCGTCCGTTACCCCTTCGAGTCTTGCGCAATACGATCACCGCTGTGGTGGGTGAAGAGCGGGTTCATGTGAAACGTGCCCTAATTAACGCAATTATTCGA